GTAGTAGTAGAGAGAGAGAGAGAGAGAGAGAGAGAGATCTGGTGGAGAGAGAGAGAGAGAGGACACAAAGTGGCTGAAGAAATGGAGAGAGAAAATGGCTTCCAGGAGAGTGAAGAAAGAGCAATTAATTTATGGGCCGAGCATATTTCTGGGCCGGGCCTTCTGATCCGGTCCGAAACAATTCTCTGCTTCGGGCCCAGCCCCGACCCTGTCCATTGGCAGCCCTACATCCGAATATGTGTTGGGCTTGAATTTCATGATGGATCTTGTGGTCACTTTTTGCGTAAGTTATCTGTGCATTTGATAAAAAAAAAAAATCATAAATTTGTAAAAACCCCTGAACCTCCCCCCTCCTCCTCCTTTTATACAATGGCCGCCTAGCCGCCTAAGTGGTTGGGACCTCCGACCGCCCAGGTGGCCACCCCTGTCTTTTTGAACATTGGTGGAAACCTTTTGTTACATTGCAATATTTGAAGTTTTAAACTTTCATCTACAACAGGATAATGAATGCATTCAAATGCACAGATAACTCAGGCATATTTGGAATGGGTAAATAAATTAGAGATATATTTCCCCAACTTTCATTAATTTCATGTTTGGAATGGTTAAATACATTAGAGATTTTTAGATAGTTATAAATTTATGATTTTGCATTATAAATTATAGACATAGCCATACATTATACATTAGAGATATATTTCTCAAACATAGCTATGAATATAACCAAGCATAGCCATGAATATTTTATAATCACAAAAAATAACAAACGAAAAAAATGGAAACTACTCATGACGTGTAACATAACACAATGTAAAGCCAACTAAAAAAAAAAATCAAGAAATAGCAAGCTAAAAAAAAAGCAAATCATCATTAATGTCAGTTTTTCAAAAAATGCTAGGCGGCCGGGGGGTCCAAGCCACCCAGCGCTTAGGCAGGCGGCCTAGTAGAAAGAAAAATGTCTCTATAGTCTAACAATATAAGTATAACTGTATAACACACAAGAGTTAGGGATTTATGGCGCATCAAATGTATAGTACACAGGTCCACATAGCACACACTCCTCCATACTCCATAAGTCCATTGTCTGATAGTCCACTAAATCTAATATCAATGGGTGATGCTTAGATCAATTTTTCATAACTTTGAGAAACCCTTCTATTATATGGATAATGGAAATCACCAAACACTTGGTTTTTGGGGTTTTTCTCCCTCTAAAATAAGTCCTATTGGGGTTTAAGTTTCAAATGAACCTAGAACCCACGATTTTGCCATTTTAGCTGGGCGCCGGCCTAGGCGGGTTCCCTGGGCAACTCGCTTAATTTGGCCGCCTAGGCCTGGGCGAGACGCCTAGGCCTGGGCGAGACGCCTAGGCCTTCTGGACCGCCTATGTGCTGGGCGGTCCGCTTTTTAAAACACTGATCAATTTAAAATCAAACTTCAAAATAAACACATGAGAATGAAAAAAAGAGCATAACATAACACAATACTCACAATATACGAAACCCTAAACCTAAAAATTGAATTTACTAACCTTTCAAAAAGTCAATAGAGCTTGAATCGGTCACTTTCGGTTGCCGAAGCTCTATTTTGCAGCCTCTTTAATCCCTAAAATATTTCCAGTAGAATTCCTTTCAATTCTGCAAGAAATAAAAACTACCAATTCGGTTGCGATCCTTAAAAAATTTTGTTTTTAACAAAAAGAAGTTTTTTTTGGGGACAAATAGGGCTGCTAAGGGTGGGGGGGGGGGGGCAAAATGCCCTCGAAATACAATTTCCCCTCTTTTCAAGCGGGGAAGGGACATTTTTGCCCTTTCGGGGAGACCAATTTTCGGGCCTTGCCTGGGTGTCCGCCTAGGCGGGGCCCTGGGCGATTAGTTGGCCACCCAAGGCCACCGTCACGCAATGGGCCGAATAGTCCCAGTGTGGGGCGGTGAGGCTGCCTGGGCAGTCGACTTTTTGAACATAGGTTTCCACTCTTCTTGCACGGGGAAGAGCATTTGGTGGTGGCTTTGTTCCCTTACCATTATGGATTGGCTTGAATCTGATAAATAATTAATACCATCATACATTAGAAATTAATATGTTGTACTATTTGCAGGTTGAAGGTCGCCGTCGGTTTCGCATACTCCGTAATTGGGATCAAGATGGGTATGTATTTGAAGATGCATCATTTTTCATGTGATCTTGTTTAAATACATTACGCTCTGCTTCGTCCCTCAGATGGTTATCATGTGTGAGATCACATTTAATTCACTGATTTGCATTAGTTTTCAATTACTAGTACCACAGTTTTACTATACTATGTGACATTGAAGCTTAAACCATATTTGTAATATGAATGGCTTCACGATCTTTATTGCTAGGATGTAGAATAAAACTACAAATTATGTCTTCTACACCTTTTCCTTTTTGCTTTTTAAGATTTGTGACAAACTTTCAGAGATGCATTACACTAGTCTTTCCTGAGCTTTAATAATATTGAGATGTGCAGGTGCTTGTATTACCTTGTCATGTTTCCTGGATAGCTATTAATTAAGATTTCCAGCATCTCGATTTCCATACTTGGATATTCATTCTCGCCTTCCTCCAGGAAGCTTGCCCATAGCTTTTGACCATATTTTCTGCATAATTACGTTGTCATCATCATCAGCCAAGCCTTATCCCAATTTGAGGTCAGCTAATTACATAAGAACACTAAATTCTTCAAAGTTCTAACCCTCTTCCACATCTATAATGGTTATACTCTTCTCCATATCTCCCATTTGTAAATTTTCCTTCCAAACTCAGTACTCTTACTGTAGCCATCCTCCTCAATGCTCTACTGCACTTTGAGCATATGCCTAATGTTATGACCACGTTCTTATTGAATAAGCCTCATGGTTATTTCATATTTTAATTTCACGTAAATGCTTTTATGCATTTGAGATTGACTACAACAAACATAGGGAATTTGTGAATCTAGATCTATGTTTTCAATTTATTTAAAGCATTTAGTTTTAGAAATGAGAGCACAATTACTTTTGGTTACTAGAGACTGTCAATGACATCAGCTGATTGATGCGTATAATTTTGTACAATTGTTTCATAGACATTGTTTGAAAACCGCCCGATCTAACCGGTAACTACCTTGTTAGATTAGAATTGGCATTGGCCCCTTGCTGGTTCCGGTTTCAGGCAGTTTTGGTGATCGGCTGGTATTTTAAAAATAAAAATTCAAAAAAATGTCTATAAAATCCCAAAAATAAGGAATTTGATTTGTAATACATTTTTAATATTTTTTACATTATCATAAATATTAAAAATTGTTTTGGTCATTAATACTTACTTTTGAAGTCCCTTTTTTCATTAATTTTTAACTTCATTTGAATGTGTTTTGTTTTAATCATTCTTATATTCTTTTCATATTTTAGTAGATTTTTTTTTAGCATCTTTTTTATTTTTTTCAACAATTTTTTGGCCTCCCGGGACTTGCCTAGTTAGAACGGTTGAATCGGCTGGTTTACCGGTTATGCCGGTTAAACCGCTTCTGGCCCCATATTCGGTTAACCGTTCCGGTTCGATTTTGCGAACGCTGATCATAGATCATGGGGGTCTGGTTACAATTACTTTTGGTTACTAGAGACTGTCTATGACATGGGCTGAGTGATGCGTATAATTTAATACAATTGTAGATCATGAAGGTCTGATTAAGCATTCAAAGATTTCATTATACATACGTTGTCTAACTATATTTGTTCATGGCTAAACCGAATGTATAGGGATGTCTGTGAGAAAGTTTCTAGGTGATGAAAAAATTGTGGCAATCTAGTGATGAAGATAGACTAATGTTTGAAAAATATCTAACAACCCAAGGGATGGAAATTTTTCCATCCAAATTCGTCGCTTGAAGAAAGGGATTCCATGGAATTCCCCACGTCTTCAATCTAATGTTTATCTTCAAAGACATGTTTTCTTCAAAGATGTGGGGGATTCCATGTCCGGTTAACCGTTCCTCTTCGATTGAAGAGAGGGTGACGTAGGGGATTGCATAGAGAAAAATATCTAATGTTTGTTTAGATGAAGAAAAAATCCAAGGGGACTCTTATGTGCTACTAAAAGGTGCATAGTTTCCCCCATCATGAAGATAGACTGTGGAAGGCCCCTACACCTGTCGTTTGAATGAGGCATACGCTAAGTCCCTACTTTTTGGAATAAGATGCTTAGACCTGATGTGGAAATCAATCATCATAGAAGGAGATTCATCCAACATGATCACTTGTGGTAGTCGAAATGAGGCTTGCCTTTTCAAGAGAATGAGTTCTGAACCAAGAACTTGATGGTCACTTTCCAAAATTCATGGAAAGATAGATGCAGTATAAAATTTCCAGCCACCAATAACCGGCAAAATAACCGTGTTTTAGATAGAAAAAAAAACCTAGAAGGAAAATGCAAGCGGAAGGAACGAACGTGTGGATCCGAGTTCTCCTCTACGGGCTAAAAGTTAGAGTTTCTTTTGGAGTCTTGTTTTAAAACAAAAGATAAATACAATGGTTTGGTAGAAGGGAATGAGGTATCTCTTGGTGATGTCGTCATCCTTTTTTATACAAGTTATTTTAGAAAGTTCCATGAGGGTTGTAGAAATAAAAAAAAACGTATCCTTAAGGTGTGACTTGGATGGTATGGTAGTTATCTTTTTATTATAAAGGAAAGGGATAAGTACGTATTAGTTTGGGTTGGGTTGGAATATAAATGATGATGGGTTTATGGTTGGAACGTAGAAGGAAGAGATAAGGAGTTTTCCTTTCTATTAGGATATAAGGGAGTTTTGGTGAAGTACCAAATCCTTTATAAAAAGGAACGATTGCATTGTAAACTGAATTGATTATTTGGTGAACAAAAAAAAAATTGATCTTTACAAATCGTGTAGAGAGAGAGAGGCCTGTCTTGCGGGTGTTTTTTCTTCTCGTGCTTGTGGGCCCGTAACAGAGGACTCATATCTGCACATTCGTTCTTTCCGCTTGCATTTTCCTTCTCGGTTTTTATTTCTCTCTAAAACACGGTTATTTTGCCGATTATTGGCGGCTGGAGATTTTATACTGCCTCAAAGATACTAATGAGGAAGTCTACGCATTTGCATGAGAGGGGATATTGAAATCAGCTTTCACAGTGACCTTTTCTTAGTTAATAGTGGGTATACTTGTAGAGTTTTTTTTTGGGGTTAGTCAGTGGGGGAGAAGGCCTCCTACACGTTTTTCTTTATTAATAAACAATAAGGAAGAGACAACTCATTATTTTACAACCCTATAATAGGGTAGTTGCACCAAATCATGAAGTAAAAATAGGGAAATAAAGTCCGGTGATCGAGAGCACCAAATAATAGCTCCAGAACTAAAAGAGGGTTTCTTAGCAAGAGCATTGGCTACCATGTTGGCCTCACGATAAATGTGAGAAATTGACCATATGCGAGTGGAAAGTCTGCTCCGACAATTAACTGCAACTGTATGTAACCTCCATGGGGCACGACAACGATCATGAATGACATTTACCAATAAAGAAGAATCGCTTTCAACTTGGAGAGGAAAGCAATTCATTGGGATAGTTAGATGGAGACCTTCGTCAAGAGCAAAAAGCTCTGCATAATTTTTTGAGGCATGGCCAAATGGCTTAGCAAAGGCAGCAACAAAGCACCATTATTGTCTTTGATAACACCACCACCACCCGCTAATCCTGGATTTACAAGGAAGCTCCATCAATGTTCAACTTGAAATGGTGGGGTTCAGGGAATGACCACACCATCGGAATAATGGATCTAGGTTCCTGCTGTCGCCATGTAATATGGAAAGTTTCAATGATTGCTCTCTCTGACAAATGAAAAGCCTATTTCTTTGTGTCTGCCAACTCCTTGATATGAGAAGAAATATGCTGAACAATTTGTTCCCTTCTTGTAGACTTTGACTCAAAGATTTTCCTATTGCGCTCTGTCCATAAGAACCAAATTGTTGTGAAGAAGATAGAAGTTCAAATATTTAGGAGATCATTCGATTTAAATTTGAAGCTTAACCATCTTCTCAACATATCAGGAGCAGAAATACCAGGGGTGAAATGCTTTCCACACTGCCATGCGACTGACCTCCACACACCCTGCGAGAACACACGGTGAAACAATAGATGACAAAGGCTATCATTATTATTCCTACAAAAAGGGCATACAGAATTCAGATTAACACCACACTACTGCAAAAGAGATGCAGTGGATAAGAGATCATGAAGAGCTAGCCAAGAGAACCATTTGGCTCTGGGATGACATTTGGAGGACCAAAGAACTCAAAAAACAGGTTGCAATGATCCTTTATCTCGAATAAAATCCCAAGCCTCCTTAATTGAAAATAGACCACTAGCAGTGTGAATCTAGACTAAGAAATCCTTTCAAGGCTTTAAGGGTATAGGGTAACTCTCAACCTTCCTCCATATACTGATTAGAGGAGCTGATGTGGTTGAAGGAAGAACCCAAGACTGTGATTAGCCTTCTATATAATCAGAAATCTTCCTCCCAGCGAAGTCTCCCAAATCCTCATGTACATTGCCACCATAGAAGTCCGATATAGATTGACTTGATAACCAGGGATCTGCCCAAAAATTCACGAGTTGGCCATTTCCAATAATCCATTGGACATTATCCTTCAAATGAGATAAACCCCATAGAATACGTTTCCAAGCATAAGAGCAGCAATGTTTCATCTTTACCTCTCATATAGAGGTATTTCTAAAATATCTGTGTTTAAAAAATCAAGCCAAGAGAGACGAGGTATCTGCCAAGATTCTCCGGGCCAACTTCATCGTTCCTACAGTATTAAAATCAACAATATTGCATACCCCTAGGCCCCCCTCTTCCTGAGGAAGGCAAATTGTCTGCCATTTGACAAGGTGAAAACCTTTTTTCTCTGCCACACCTGCCCATAGGAAATTGCTTTGTAGCCTTTCAATCATCTTGCAAGTTCATTTCGGTAGAATAAAAGATAGTATCCAGAAAATCTATGAGGTGCTAAGTATTGATTTTAGCAGCTATAAACGACCTGCGTAAGATAAACAAAGGGCTTGCCATGTACCAATCTTACCCATAACCTTTCCAATTAGACTATGATAATAACTTTGCTTTAAATACCCATGGAACAAGGGCAGCCCCAAATATCTTACTGGTAAGGAGCCTTCCCCAAAGTCCAACTCTTTCAGAATCGCATCTCGAGCAGCTTGTGTTACACCAAAGAAAAAAGCTTTGCTCTTTGAAGTGTTTAGCTTTTGTCCAGTAGTAAATTCAAAGTTAGAGAGCGCCCCTTTCATAGCAACGACAGAGGTGATAGATGCTTCACAAAAAATGATAGCATCATCAACATAGAATAAATGTGAAACCCCATAATCACAACTCGAAGGAAAGGCTCTAGGAATCATCTCCTGCACCATAGCATAGTTAATCTGTCTATTGAGATAGTCCTTAACTAGCAAGAATAAATATGGAGATAAAGGATGCCCTTGCCTTAATCCTCTTTTCCCTCTAAAGAAACCTTTTGGAGAACCATATTTCTTAACACAGAAAACGAAGTAGTGGAAATGCGTAGTCGAACCCAAGAAATAAACTTTTTTGAAAACCCCAAAACCTGCAGCCTAGCCACAATAAATGCCCAACAGACACTATCATATGCACTACTCAAATCAAGTTGCAACACATGTTAGCCCTTACTGCATTCTTATAGCAAAGAGACGAGATTATTTGCCATAAGAATGTTATTTGTGATTATTCTCCCTTTTAAGAAAGGTATTGTATACAACGAGACTATTTACCTTTCATACATGGAGGTCACAATTACTTACAATCATCTGATGTGAAATCTGATAGATTGGATGTGTCACAAAGTTTGAAAAAATTTCTTTTGAACTTTGAACTTGGTCAATAAAATAACTGCAGCCACCCAATATCACATCCAGTGGTCAAGATCAATTGTGACCACCTTGTACAAAAGGTAAATGGTCTCATTATAAACTTTTTCTTTAAGAAAGCTGCTTGCCTAGGGTCAATGAGGTCACCAAGCACCACTGGTAAACGATTGGAAATGAGTTTACTAATGATTTTGTACAAAACATTGCATAAACCAATAGGGCGAAAATCTTTCACAACCAGAGGGGAATCTACTTTAGGAATTAAGCAAATAAAGGTCGAATTGATTTCTCTAAGAAATGTACCTCTCCTGAAGAAATCTTTGAGAGCTATAAAGAGATTCTTCTTGATAACCTCCCACCCGAATTTATAGAATTCCACAGAAAAACCATTAGGGCCTGGAGCACTTTTGCACTTCATGCCCCAAATACAATCATTTATCTCCTCCAAAGTGACCTCTTTAACCAATTCCTCCTTTTGATTGGTACTAAGCAGAGATGGTGGCAAAAACAGATCGGCCATATTTGTATCAACATCACTCTCTTGGGTAAGAAGATCTTCAAAGAACCCTATCATGTGATTTTCAATATCAACTTCGGAAACCAAAGAAATCCCATTCTGATTCTTGAGAGAAATTATACGATCATTCTCCTCCTGATTACAGGGGATAAATGAAAAAACCTTGTATTAGAATCCCCGTCCTTTAACCAATTTTGCCTTGACTTTTGCCTCCATATACTCTTTTCGTGGCCTAAAAGTTGTAACTTTTTGGTACACTCCTCCTGTATTATCAAATTTTCATTGGAGAGGTCACTACACAGATCATCATGTATAGAAGATAACTTCTGCCGAGTTACTAAAATAAAATCACTCACACGGCCAAACACTTTCTTATTCCAAACAGGAAAATCCCCTTTCAGTCATTTTAGTTTTGTAACAAAACGAAACATAGGGGTAACCCCCACTCTGCCTTGCCAAGACGTTGAATGATAACAAAGGAAGAAAAGGACAGACTGTGGACGAGTTGTATGTGGAGGTAAGTTTGTTTTCAGGTTCTTATGTTCTTATTGCTTGGAGGTTAGTTAAGACTGTATTGCTATTTTTATATCAAGTGGAAGAGATATTCCAGTATGTATACCATGGGTTGGGGTTTAGTTAATATTGTTCTGCTATATGTATATCAAGTCCAAGAGATTTTACAGCATGTATCGTATACCACGTATGTTCTTGGATTGGCTTGAAATGATAGATTTCCATAGCTTAAAACCAGGATCCAACATTTAGGTTGTAGGTTTCTTTTATAGTATATTTTTAAATTGTTCTTTTGGAGCTCTGAGTTTTAAGTGAGCGATTCATATTTTTTTACCTTGATTCTGGTTTTCATGCCAAATGACAGTTTACATATAAAAAATTCTGGCAATAGCATTGTGCTTCATAAGCTATATGTTGGTGGTATGGTCCTTCTTTATGCTACTGACAATTGGATGATATTCACTTCTGTTTAGGTATCGTGTTGCAGAAGTTGAATGGATTTGTGATGTTAACTTTCCAGAAGGGACAAATGAGAGAGATGATGTAAGATCTCTTTCAATTCATAGGAGTATTGCTTCCATTTAATGTAAAAACTTTACCAAAACTTGTCATGAATCCTGAACCTACAATATCTGCTTATGATGAGTATTCTTTGCATCGATCTTCTCAGCAGTTTTGATAAAAAAAAGAACTTTCTCAGATTTTTTGCTAGTCTGCTTAAAAATGAGTTGACACATAATACCAAGGTGTGATTCAATTTATTATTTGTTCTGTTTGAGTTAAATTATTGTGTCCTTTTAGTGTGTTTCATCTCTACTTGTTTGTTTATTTTCTGAAACCAGGTTATGCTAGTATTTTACGACATTGTATTTATTTGGCCAATGTACACTTCTTTAAGTCAGGTCATCGTTGTGTGATCATAGTGGAATAGAGGCTACTATTGTTCTAATTTTTACATTCTTTGTGGAGATAACTGATGGTAGACTACCTCCTCCTACATTCCTAGATGCTTTAGTACCCTGGACATTCTGAAAATTGTTGTCTCTACTTCCTACCTCATCTATATGACAAACTACAATTTGCGTGTGATTTATAAATACCCCAACTCATGGAGCTCATCCAAATTATTGATTAGGTTCAGTCACTCATTTTTCATTATACATGACTCTTCAATGGAGGATTTCCTCAGCCATCCTAGGAAATTGTTATAGCCACCACAATAAGCATTTTGATCCGGAAAAGATGTGAGCTACGTGAATGATGGTAGACCCTGATCCACTAAATGAGGTTGGTTATAACTTCCATGGATGTTTCCACTAAATCTTCTTCTTGGAGATCCCATTAAGTGGGAAGATCGAAGTGAAATCATCAAGAACTGAGTGATGGGCCTGGTTCACGGACAGAAAGTATGAAGAAGTGTCAAGTTTTTGGCCTCACCCTTTTACTCTGATATCCCTGGTTGGATCTGATATCTACATCTCCCACTACCTAATTTCTCTTAACCTCTCCTAGAAGTACGTACCATGTGCTTGTGCAGGATTTGGCATTACAAACCCTCTTGGAAACCTAGGTAAGCTCTAATGGGTGTTTTTAATGTCTCACGTGTCCTAGAAGAACTCCATGCTAGTGAGCAAGGATGTCTCTGAATCGTCTAAAGGCCAAAGGATAGAGAGACCTGTGACGATTGTTTGAGGGACACAATGCCTAGAATCATATACTGCTTTGAAAGTTCACGACGCTATCCTCTTTTCCTCTTGTGAGTCAAACGTAGTTTTCCTGTTAAAGTTCCCACTGAGTGAGATTGACAGAGTTCTCATAATCTAGAGATGGCCTCGTCCTAGTAGTAGTTCTCAAGAAAGATTTAAGCAACGAACTAGAATGCCAATGCATGACCCGGAGGGAGGAAACAATCCCAACGGCGCATGACCATGACATAACCATGGTGGACGATTGGATGCTAATATAATATTCTCCTTCTCTATATTAGCAATACCTTGTGGAGGTGCCACAGCATTTACATTGGCTAATATGTATTTACTTGCATGTCTCCTGTATATATATCAGAAATTTTACAGTGGATTATGTTCATGTCCATCGGTAATTTCTTAGCTCACTTTTATTTGTACTTTGCAGTTGCTACAAATGGCTATTGGAGCAGCAGACTTGGCACGAAACTGGATGATGCGGGCTAGAGAAGCTGCGAGAACAGGTCAGGAAGAACTTATCTAGAGGCTTTTGTGTGTCCGTCATTAAGAACTGCTCTAAGCTAGGATGTTTTTCTCTACGTAGGTTTCTTTTGTTTATGTATTAAGTTAAGCCTGTTATCTGACTTTGAGGTTTTTATACAACAGCACGGCAATCAAGGCGTGCAGAACTCATCGAAGCTGATGGAATTCCTAGCCCACAAGATCCTGAGCGCCTCAGTTTCTGGGTATATGCATACAGCATACATGTTTCTTTCGTAGGCCACATTACATTTGTTCCCTAAACTTTCTTGATGCACGTTATTAAGCTTGGTTCTATGGGTTTGTAGCTCGTTAGCAATGTTTTGAAGTTGAGGCCATCTGACAGATTGGAGCTCTTGCGGTTAAGAGATACACGTGAGGTACTCAAAATTGATTCGTCCGGCATCAACTTTTAATTTTCTTTTATTTATCTATTCCTTTCTCATCCAGTATCGGTTTCTGTAGTACAGAGGATATCGCGGGGCCTAATATACTTGAGAGCCGAGTAACAAGGTTGCCGCGTTCAGTGACAAAGACCACCTTTCCAGCAACTCTTTTATACATACAGCAATGTACCAATTTTTGTCATTCTTTTTTCTCCTCCCATTAAAAATTTGTAGCCTCTTCTTAAACAAAAAAAAAAATTGAATTTGTGCCAAATATGAATGATACATCTATCAATGGAATATAAATTTTTTTGTGCAAGAATTCTTTTATTTTAATTTTTGAATAGAATGCGTGGTATGTAAGAGAGTTTTCTTATAGTTAGCTGATGGAAAGTAGCATTGAAACTGCTTGAGAAAACAGGTTGTGCATGAAATCGAGCCTGCCCAATCTAGAAGGAAAGTTGTCTGATAAATAAATGAAGAATAGGTTTGTTCTTGCTTCTGCCTTCTTCATAGTGTTGGCTTAAAAGCTTCAAAATCAATATCTAGTGCATATCAAAATTAAAATACATTATTCTTCAAAAAACCGAAGGCATTGTCATTCCTTACAAAGTACTCTTTGTTGCTGCTGAGCTATATTGTTTTTAAATTTCAATTGTTAATGTTGCTTTCAAACTGCATTCATGATATGATAATCGGGGAAGTTTTTGAATCTCAATTAAGAACTGAAAGCCTCAATATGTTGTTATAAATTTATTTTTTAAGCATATAATCATAGTTTTTATTGACAACAAGGCTTATTGCATAAAGAAAGGATGAAATATATTCATCTGAGATAGTTGTCATAAAATTAGGAACTTTTAAAGCTTCTTAGTGCCTTCCAAATTTGGCAACTATTAAAAAAATAATCCATTTACGCAAGTAAATTTAATGCGGTGCCCAGCATTTTAGTACGAACGAGGCTTTATGAAAACAAAATAAAGACTCACCTCAAATCCCTGTCGGGAAGGCATTTTCGGCGACGAAAATCTTTGTGATGGTTTTAAAATCAATTTCCAACTGAAATTTGAAACTAAAAAAAATATTAAAGGTCTTGCGGATCTATGATTTGTTGCAATATATACTTTTTTTGAAACTTGAAATCCTAATTTCTTTCCACAACCATACTGTTTAAGCCGAGATGATCGATGTAAAGGTTTTTCTATACTTGAATTTTAATTTTCAATGAGTTATGAGATGAGTTTTTACTAATTTTGATAGGGTTGCTGCTCTATGAAACCATTTTCCTTTTAATATTTAGCCTTGATACTTCATATTAGGGATTATACATGGAAATTTAAAACAACAATTTAAAGGGGTTATTTTGGCATGTTTAAAGTCCCTCTCCCATGTATACTTCCACTCTCTCTAACGATCTTCCTTCCCTCACTTTCTTTTTCTCTCTCTAACGGTCTTTCTCTCTCCTTTTTGTTTGGCAAAAAGCCCTTTTGGAAAAGTATATAATGCGAGACTATTTATATTTGGTATAAGGTGGTGACAATTAATCTTCTTTATTGGATGTGAAATAAAGTATAAAAGAATTTTTTTCAAGTTTTATGATGCATCCAAGCTATCAAATTTCATATCGGGTGATTACAAGTAATTGTCACCTCTTTGTATGAAAGGTAAATGATCTCATTGTACACAATTCCAAATCTTTTTTATTGGGGGAGAGGAAATACAAAGAAAGTTGGGCTCGAAACAGAAAAAGACAATTAATGGGAGATAAATTTAAAAATTTTGAACTCTTCATAATAGCCGAATGGAAGTTTGGTTTAATGCCAAAGCCAAGGTAAAAGTGTGAAAGGAAAATTCTTTTGACCTGTTAAGCACCGGTCTAGTTTATGTGCTCACCAAATCATTTCCATTTCCCTTCAATAAATTTCATGATTAAGCTGTAAAATTCACGATTAAACATATATAAGAACAGGGGTTAAGACAAAAGTATTGAAGTCTGTTTAGATGCGTCTCTAGGAGAGTGTATGGTCGATTGCTAGTATTAATGTGCACATACTTCCTTTAGTATGAGACCTAGTTGAGACGGGTTTTTCATTTTTTATCTGAAATTTTATAATTCACCTAAAAATGAAAGATATATATATATATATATATTTTTTAAAAAAAGATTTTGAATTTTTCAATACTTGAATCTCACCTATAAGGAATTGGGCTTGGGCTTGAGTGGTTAGTAGCTGATGTTTAGCAGTAATTTCGATCATTGTACCCAAAAACGATCACCTTTCTTGATTTGAATTTCTTTTGAGATTTCCCTTTCTAATCCATGTCCAAGAAGTTATATACCAAAATTTGAAGTTCTAAAATATTTCTAGTATGGGTTTTACTTGAGGGAGTAAATGTGCAATATTTACATGAAGGTCCCGGTTTCTATTAGGCCAAACCTGTATATGTAGAAATGCGGGCCTCTTAATAAATCTGTTTTTGAGATCGATTTTAAGATTTAATTGGACATGTAATTTTTAACATAGAGATCATGAATACGAAAAAATAAATAAATTTTAAAAATTAGAAATAATAATTCTAGTAAAAAACATTTGGCTTGTTAGTTTCCATTGTTTTTAGATAGAACACCTGCTTGCATCCATATTTAAGATGGATGATTTATCAAGAAATGCGGTCCAGCCAGCATGAAACAATTTTCTTACATGAATTTCTTTTTTTTTTGGGAAAAATTTATTAAAATACTTTTGAGAGATAAAATGTTTAATATTTTATCTATATATTGATTTAATTTTAAAATACCTATCCATCATGAGTTGAAATGGTGAAAACATTCAATAGCATGTCTCTCGATAAAAATTCCCTTATTTTAAAGAGAGGAGTTTATTTGGTTGGGCGAGTTAATGAGGGTAATATTCTAAAAGTAAGAGTCTTTATTGGGCAGTATGCTCCCTCGGGGGCACGAAGTATTTTTGGCTCAGCTGAAAGATAAAAATCGGCGAACCTCAAATAGCCATCTGTCCTTACTGAGATACGCCTTCAAATTCTCCCTGCATTTTTTATATTTTCGTGCGTTAATGGCTGCCCTAGATGATTTTCAAGGTTTTTCTGGATAAAAAACGTAAATGTTATGTTTTTTCTAGGTTTCTATGATTCTATCTCGGTTATTTTGTGTTGAGAAAGGAAGGAACCACTCAGATATTGGCAGTTTGAGATTTCAGGGGAAAAACCAGTTAATCTTTGAGAATTGGGGTTTTAGGCTGGATTAGAAGGAGGGTTTTCTCTCTGTAAAGGAAACTCCTGCTAACTCTGTGAATTGTGCAAAAATGGAGTGTTCCTGTGACTGTAGTTGGGAAGGAAGAGTGTTTATTTGAAGAGAATTTGTTGTAGAATTGAATGCCGCATTGGATGAATTCTTGTGCTTCTGGGGCATAAGATTCAAAATTGATGCTCATGCCAAATCTGATAGACGCAGAGTTTCTTTCTCATGGCTATCTGTCTCCAATCTTCCCCTTCAATCATTTGTCTCCACTCTCGCTCTGCATCTCTTCCTCAAGCTTTATGCAAACGCTTCAACAGCAGGAACAACATCAAACGCAACCATACCAGCAAGGATTCAAAGATTTCATTCAATAGAGAAGCTAAAATCCTTGATGGATTTGGCCCACTCAGGCCATTGGACTCAACCATGGAGCTCATCGACCCCCCTGGTTCAGACTCAGGCTTACAATTCAGAGAGAAGCTCATATATCTGGAAAAGATGAAGGTGAGCTCCATTGCAGCTCTGGAGAGAAACCCACTTCTTCGTTCCACCTCTATCAATCAGGTGAAGCTCATTGAGAAGTGTCTCAGCTCCATGGGTTTAACAAAGAATGACATTGGTCGCATTTTTAGTATGCTTCCTCAACTCTTAACCTGTGATCCTGATAAAGATCTATACCCAGTTTTTGAATTCTTGTTAAACGAAGTGAAAATTCCATATGAGGATATCCGAAAAACCATAGTGAGATGTCCTAGACTGCTGGTTTCTAGTGTTAGAGACCAACTTAGGCCTGCTTTTTATTTCTTGCAGAGATTGGGTTTTGTTGGGCCTCATGCTGTGAATTGCCAAACCACTCTTTTATTGGTCTCTAATGTGGAGAACACACTTATTCCCAAATTGGATTATTTGCAAAGCCTTGGGTTCTCTTATAGGGAGAGTGTTAAGATGGTATTGAGGTCGCCAGGGCTCTTCACTTTCAGTATCAGGAATAATTTCGAGCCTAAAGTAGATTACTTCCTAAATGAAATTGGGGGAGATTTGGAGGAATTGAAGAGATTTCCACAATATTTCTCTTTCAGTTTAGAGGGGAAGATAAAGCCCAGGCATAGGCTTTTGGTTGAATACAATTTGTCACTCCCTTTGGCTGATATGCTCAAGGTTAGTGATGGTGAGTTTCGAGACCTGCTAGTTGAAATGCGATTGCAGGCTGTTGATAAGAAACTACAATAGAGGTAATGGGTTTATTATCCATTTAAACTGGGTTCTTTTAATTTTGAGAGAGGATATATTAGGGGCATTGACAAAAAAATGGGTTTTGCTATGTAATTAGCAATGTGGTGGTCCTGAAGATGTATGCTGTATGATATTACCGAAATGACATTGGATATAACCTTGTAAACACTTGGGAATGTTATCCATTTTTAATGGGCTTCTGTTAAGAACAAGAGACAGAATAAATGGGTTTGACGGTCATATATTAGTGCTGCACTATGTACTATATCATTGATATGTCAAGGGATATAAGGTTGGAAATGGGCTTTAACATGGTTGTATTAGCTCTCCTTCCACTTTTCTGTACCTTGAGTTGAGAAGTGTATTGGTGGTAATGCTTCCATTGAAAGCTCAGTTGATTGGTTGGGAATTTTACATCTTCTTACATTCTGCTACACTTTTATCACAAGGACATCACTTGCAGGCAATAGTTGAAGGGGAAATGAAGAATTGTTTTTCGTTATTCCATGTTCATTGTCTTGTGGAACTGCCTCACCTTAGATATTTCTTCCATCATGGGTTGTCGGTTTTGGCAAAATAATGGATGTTCACTTCTCGGTTCAGGTATGGCTTTTCTACCTGCAACAGAGCAGTCGTTTGTATTATTGGCAACTGTTAATATGGCTCTTAATATTTGAATTTCTCAATGCTTTCCACATGAAATTTGTGCTGGTTTGATGAACAACTTGTCATGTTGTTTGGAAATTGTTTAAGTTATGATGGCTACAGATGAATGTGGCAATTTTTTCTAAACCTTTATCTGTTCTGGAACTTGTTATATTTCTCCTCAAAGATGTTTTTTCTATAGTTTTCTTGTAACTGAATAAATACTAATCGGTCCAAAATATGAGATGGGTTGACCTCAATATTGAATAAATAGACCTCTGTGTGCACGGGGTACACAGCCTATAGGCTCCAAAACATGTATGCCTATCTTCTTGATGGTGAGTTCCTAGAACTCTGGTTGTGACTAAGCTGGAGAAATTTGAGATGAGACCATCACATTACAGCTTTATGGCAACTTTGGCCACAAGGATGGTTGAATTTCTCTCCTGGATAACTAGTTTCAGTACCCTATTGACAATTAGATCATACACTTAACTTACCATTTAATAGGTTACTTTTGAAACTCACAACATAAGATGCTGTCTTGATCACATGTAGCTCACTCTGCTGTCACCTTAGAAAGTTCAATGTTAATGTTGGATCTTAGGGGCAAGGGGCAAGGTAAGGGGTTGAAGGAGTTTGTGATAGGAGGAGGAGACTGAGAAGATCCCCGATGGAGTTGGGCACCAAATAAGCTTGTTCCCACCCTGGGAGATTATGAGGTCGTTGATGAATATTATGGGGCCCTTGTGCGAATGGCTTTCAAAAATTTAAAGCTTAACATCCATTGAGCTGTGCTGTAGGAGATTCCAGCAGGTCATACTCTCCTAAAATTAGTGTCCTAATACAAGTAGAAGCTGCTTTTGTGGTAGCATTCAACCATGAATCTTATACCCCACTTAGCTTGTATGTATATTGCGAAGTCCCGTCAAGAAGTTATTATGTGCAGATTTCGGGGACCTCAATGAAGCTTGTCTTTGGGACCTCTTTCAAATACCTCATGGACAAGGCTACCAGCCATGAAACTTTTCCTTTATGCACATCCTGTCTAGTACAACTGGTTCATGAAAACAATATATTTGAAGTACTCTGTATATGCCTTGGTATCTTTTGATTCCGCTTCATGCCATTTAGCCTAGAAATGCATACACTGGATATGAAAGAGCCATGCATTTAGAGCATCCAATTTATCTGCTCTCTGTAACGGATTGCTATATTCACTATGTGGCCATTACAACTTGCAATAGAGAAAACCATCCCTTTGTCCTCTACGTGTCATGGTAGTCAAAAGTGCTGACTATTTAGGTAATTCGGGCCCATTGTTGGCCTGCGTGACCGTTGGTGTGCATGGGCAGTGTATCCTGGCAACCCCTACTTTCTGTTGGTGTCCCATGTCGACATATATAGACACTTGGACATGTGTCGGATGTTCTGACATGGAACTGACTTTTGGTTTACGTGTGGCAAGTGTGTCAAGGTATTGACAAGCCATGTTACCTGGAACTGCATAATTTTATTGTTGTTTTTTTATTGATTTTTTATGTAAAACTAGTATATGGTAATTAGGTACAATGTCTAAGCTATATTTTCTTTTTAAAACTTTTTTTTTTTTCAGCAATTAAGCGTTATGGATAAGCACAACCCCAGATTACATTGAGCCCTGTTTCTCAGAGATTGCAAGAGAATTTTGAACAATAAAGTAACATAACGGCCTAGAAGCAATTAGAGAAGGATTAAGTCTACACATGTCATTTTATAATCAGTCTTCCATTCAAGGTTAGACTTTTTATATCTGCTTTTCCCATCCTAACAAAAACTCCTGTACATAATCTGGTGGTGTTCATGCTTTTATTTTATGTTTATCTTCTATAGCAACCTAACATGAATTGCATGGAAGCACCGGGCAGTCCCTGAGTTTCCGTGGAGGTCATTATATGATAGAAAACAAAAAGTAGAACTGTATATTGTTTATGTTTTTTTTGGGTTAGTATGTATTGTTTATGTTGTATGAGCTATGCTACTATATTGTGTGTTGTCTATTACTGTATAACGATGTAACCGAAAGGTTAAGTAGGAAATGATATTTATAATAATTTGATAATTTGGTAGCACTTGTATATCATGGTAGGATTGGCAGGTAGTTTATAATATATATCAGATTTTATTTGTATACTTTATGCACTGCTACCCCCAAAACAATTGGGCAGCATCTCACTTAGCCATGTTTTTGGATGGTCCTCAACCCATAAGGCTCCAAAGTGTTTCTCTTACTGCCCAAGATCAATCCCTGAAAAGAAATAATGGATTTGGAGCCCTAAGAACACTCCCATCTTGCATGCCATCTCTAAATCTGATTTGAACCATCTATTTCAATGGATGGTGAAGTGATCAAAATCAGATATGGAGCTTTTTTTGTTTTAAAATTTTAAAATGAAGCTCTAAATCCATAATTTCTGTGATGGAGAAGGAATTGCATGTATTTTGGAATGTTTGGTATCTCAATCCGTTATTAAAACAGGAAAAACAGGAGTTTAGGGCGTTACTGCAGCTGCACCACAAACAGGGGCCTGTATTTGTATACTAGGTGACAAAGTCTACAAACGATAAATACATTACCCTCAAATGTACAGTTATACTCATTTTATAATGCATGGCGGATGTCATGCCCCATCTCGATATCACTGTTTAGGAAAATTACTTTCCTTATTTTGCTGGAGAACTTAATAAAATCATGCCCATCATTAATGAATTAAGCGAATTTAAGTAGTTCCCAAGTCTTGTGAGGTATGAAACCTTAAAATAAGGGTTTTGGTTCAATTTTTTGAACGACTTAAGCCAAATGAGAAATTTTGATAGATATCAGATCTTGTGGGGGGGGGGGGGGGGGGATTTAATACCCTCAGACCCCTGGAAGTGGATCTAAGGGCATTGGACAGAAAAATCCTGTTAGATCCATAGGAATGGATTTTACCATAATAAGAGTTCCATGGAAATAGATCTAAGATGTTTTTGTGCATGTGTGTATGTCTATGTCTGTGTGTCTGTGCGTGGAGAGAAGAAAAAAGAGGAGGGCGTGGAGAGAAGAAAAAAGAGGAGGGGGGAGGGGGGTTGTGTGGCTGGGGTTTAGAAGGACCCCACTCTCTTGAGGAAATGCTAAAATCATCTGAGCTGTTAATTCAGTGGAGATATTGATGCAAGGGCTGCACCTAATCTATGGCAGAGATAGTTTGCTTGCGAAGTCAATAGTGGGCAGAGTCATGCCATTGTCTCACTTGGTCTTGTGTGTGTGCATGCACACTCATACTTGTGAGCGCATGTGTGATATCTTAGACATCATTGGTGGTTTGAATGGACCACAGAATAAATGCCTCTTCTACTTTCCACCCAATTACTTAAGAATTGGGAAAAGGAGTTATTTACTTATTTCTTTGAGCGAGGCAGTTATAATGGAGCTTTCAAATAAGTAGGGAAGGACTTACTCCTGCTTATTTTTGGTCATTTTCTTACACCTTGGTTATGAGAGAGTTCTACTTACCTTGATCTGTTGGAAGAGGAAGACATTCAGATTCTTGGAGGAATGTAAGGTTCTGTTTAACAAAACACCATTAGAATATTCAAATTTTTGAAAATCTAAATAAAGGCATTGCCTGCTTTTCATATATCTGAATTTTATATTATCTTGATATGTGTCTTTTTGTACATGTTTGACTGTCTACATGTATTTTAGGATTTTCTAAGATTTAAGATATTTAATTGTTGGGAAGACAAAATCACAATAAATTGAAAATTTTTCATTAAGCACATATTTGATTTGGAACAAACTTGTATTTTCTTTCGCTATTAAGGATAAACTCTCCTTATAGAAAGTATGCGTAAAAATCAATAATTTATAGAAGCACAACGCAATAGAGAAGAAGAGTGGGGGATCTTGGTGACATCCAACCTTTATTATGCGTAAGATATTAAAATTACACGAGAGGAATAGAGGGAGACCATTTGTTTTGAATTGAAATTTTATTGACATTCCATATAAGAAACTTTCTCTATTGGAAAAATCAATATAGGGACATGATCCCAAACTAAGCTAATAGTGAAGAAGTTATTTTTTTTTAAAAAAGATACATAATCTTATATGTAAAAAATAGAACTTATATAACCTAACATAATATCATCAACCAGCCAACAAACGTGCTTCTTTTGTTGCAATAATAAGCCCACATATCATGTGCAATGCTGTCTCGCAATCGACCACCCGTGTCATGTGGACTACTTGCAGATGTAAGATTTGGGTCACTTTCTTCTTCAAAATACTCTTGGTCTATGTAGTCGATCTTAATTTTCCTTGTCATATTCCTCATAGAGCCAATCATCATCTTCAGAATGTATAGGAATAAAATTATGTACAAAATACATTACAATAACTAACTCAACTTGTTTTTTAATTGGATATGCAGGTGGTCTTGAAAGCACAAATTTTAAGTACACCAAATATGTGCTCGATAGCGTTTTTTAGAGAAGAATGTCTCAAATTGAATAATTCCATGTAGTCTTGTGGAGCATTTTGTCCACGCCCATATTCTTTGAGGTGGTAACGAACTCCATGGTATGGAGCAATAAAATTTGGGGTATTCGCATAACCTGCATTGACTAGGTAGTATTTAATTTACCTAGCTTATTTGAAAAGATCTAAATGATTAGTGGCATATTTACAAAAGTATTATTAGCTAAGTTACGAATTAGAAGTGC